AAAGAGTGCAACTTGGCACGCGAAGTTTGGGCTTGCATTCCGCAGCCGTCTGCCAGGATACGTGCCCAGCGGTCGTCTCCTGCTAGATCCATGCGCGGCAAGTCAAGACCTAAAGGACCTCAGAAGGATCGTGTACAGGGAGTGATCCTCCAGAAGTTGCAGGACAGCATGCAAGACCCAGAGGTGGCAGAACTTGTGAGTGCTCGAGTTGCCACTGTGCTGGGCAAGCCGATTTCCCTGCAATCAGCCTTGGACTTTGGGGAAAGCAAGACCACACTCTTCCTGGACGCCTTACTCCGAACCCCCGGATGCGCTCCGGCACAGCCTATGCCCATGCCCACGATGCCGACGATGCCGATGCCACCTGGGCCGCTGCCGAACCTGAGCCTGGGGCATGGGCCCAATGGGCATGGGCCCATGCCCTGCGCGCCCTTTCCGGCCTGGCCCATCCAGCGCAAGAAGGATCCGCCCCGCATGGTGCACCTGAAGCCGCTGCCCCCGCTCTGTGATCGGGAGCTCCTGGGCTGGTTGGCGCAGCTGGGGGTGAAGGGACTCACCCGCATCTCGGAGGAGGAGGTGGCCCTGGAGGCAGGGAGCCATGTTTCGGCTTACTCCGGCAAGGCTGTGGGGCAGCTGTTTGAAGACCCAACAGCCCACCGGATTATCTCCTATCTCAGGTAATTACCCGGGAGTATTCCTTTCTTCCAGTGGAGATCCCTGCGCATTCCTGCGCAGCCCAAAACAGAGCAGCCAAAAAAAGATGCAACCAACAAAAGATGCCGAGTTTGTTTCAAAGATGCAGCCAAGAAAAGAAACCGAAGCCAGGTTCGATTTCAGATATTTTCACCGACGCCTGGGCTTTGGCCGCATTCCTTGAGTTTGTTTCAATTCATGCAGCCAAGAAAAAACCGACACCTTCCATGGGATGTCACTTTCAACGAAAGCGCCTGCCTTTGGCCAGGTGGCGGACCCGAGCACCATCGACGGCCTCCTGGGTCTCCAGGGCATGCCCTTGGGCTCCTTTCGCCTTCAGGCGGTTTGGGAGGGCTGGATCGAGGGCAGCATGCAGTGGGACCTTTTGTTCAACCCGCATTGTTTTGTTTTTTGTTGTTTTTTCCCTTCTGGGGTTTCGTAGTAAAAAAATAGTAACATGTGTTTGTTTTATGTGTGTTATTGTTTTGTTGTTAACAAAAAATTCATAAATACATCCCAACGAAATAGCAAAACAAATAAGGCCCGATGATCAAACAGAACAGCTCCTTAACCCGTCGAGGCAGCGGAGGGTTCTTTGCACATATCCAGCTGAAAGGGGCATCCCTATGGCCCTATAGGAATCCTAGATCCTAGCTGCGTCGGATCTCAACAGTGCCAGCTACTCTTTCCGCACAACTACACTTACACCGTGGTCCGTACGTAATGTGTTTCTAAGCTTTGGCCTGCGCATACGCAATTTGAGGCATTCATGCCCCCTGCTCATTGATGTGCGCCGGGTGCTGTTGCGGGATGGGGCTGGGGGCTGCTTTAAAAGTGCGAGAACACTTGAGCGTCAACCGAGATGTTTCCTCTGGGCGTTCGGTGCATGTTGTGCTTGCAGCTTATCTTCCATTTGCTTAAGAATCTGTTATTTTCCCCTGTTGGTTTTAAATGGAATCTATCACTACTGTTAAACAAAAACAGGGGTCTTAACCAAGTGGAAGTTATGCTTTGCAATTCCCTGAAGCACCCTTCGCTGGTACGGCCGATATCCATGCCAGCCTGCTCCGTGCGTTTTCAGGTGGCCTTGGACGGGCGTTGGCCAGAGATCAAGGCGCCCGAGCCGGAGGTGTGCGAGATCGACGTGGAAGAGCGCGCCTCTTGGCCTGCACAGCCGCAAATCGCTCGGTTTGAACTCAACCAATGCGCCAAATGGGATCTTCTCACCCTTGAAATGTTCACCATGCAATCCAAACCATGCGCTCGAACCTTTTTTTCGGGGTTCCTTAAAGGATACATGGGGCCAACGTTGCATTTACCACGCTTTAATGTAGGGGCGGGGGGTTGTCACACATATTTCCTCTTTTGGGATTTCGGTGCCACCTTGTGCCGCTTGTTTTGAAGGGGCAGCAGAAAAGGCCCCCAATTTTGACAACCCCCCCCCCCCCCAGTGTGTCCTCTTGGGTCAGTAGTCACTTCTAGAACCGTTTTCGGAATGGGGTTCACCTGGGAACAAGTAGCCCTTCGGGGATGCTTAGGTGAGTTTGGCTGAATGTTATAGTATTGGTAGGTACATTCTTTCAATCTCGCGTGGTGCGGTTGCATCAAAATTTCAAGCAACTACATGTGAACTGCCTTTGTTAGTACCATTGCCCTTTGTGTGTGTGTGTGTGGTACGTTGTTTGTATTTGGTATTTGCTTCCCTTGTGCACAGCATTGCACCTCTTCATAGCCTCAAGATGCGTCTATATATACTGCGCGCGGACCTCCAACTCATGCTGGATCGATTTTTGCAGCTTCTCGATTCTTCCTTGGAAGGCTTGGAACGTCCGCCTCATCCACAGAGCGCAGAAATGCAAACCCACTCCCACAACTCCGATGCAAAGGTTTGGGATGATTCGGAGGCCTTGTCCAGGAGTGTGCACCGCACAATGCGGTACATGCCTCATGACAATCCCAGCGGTGCTGAGATGATCGCGGAAACCCCAAAATACTTCCCCAGAATTAGCTCCCCCCTTTTTTGCTTTTTCGGGGTCTTTTTGTTTTCCACCAACCAGGCAAAAAAAGATAATTTTTGCTGGCCTAGATTAGATGCTCGGGGAAAGTGGCAACCTGTGGAGTGCAGAGAGGTGCTCCAATCTGCGGCCGGTGATTCCACTTCGTACTTGATGCTCCCATACGTTTCAATATCGCGAATGCTGGGTTTTCAGCTAAGCTGCCCGTGGATCTTCCAATATTTAGGAAGTAGTTGATCCAAGTGCCTTCTTTGATAGTAGCTGCGAGCCAAGGGGTTGCACGTTTTGTTTTTTTCCTCTGCGGTTGGCCGAGGCCAAGATCCTCATGGAGAAGTTCCTGTCGGAGGCTGCGAAGGAGAAGGACGCGGCACCGGAACCTCCGGCGGAACCGGTGAGGCCAAGAGCGCCTTACAGGCCCAAGTTCCGGAACGCGCAGTGAGCGGGGCGCGGGTTTAGCGGGGTTTGAGGTGTGGCTTTGTTCGTGCGAATGGTCGGCCCTTCGAGATCGTCTCAAGGAGGACACCAACAAATTGGACTGCTTAGCAACAAGCAACATGGGGGAAGCTGTCCAATTTGGAGTCCATGAGACATGTCCATGATGTACGTCATGGAAGATGTTGCTGTTCTATGTATTCGACTTTCCATCATTGGGTTTTAGGTTTTGAGTGTTGGTCGTTTACGGATGACATGAAGTGATGACTCCCTCCATCAGTGCAGCGCAGGGTGGGCGCAAAGTGGTGACCAGTGCACGGTTTGTTCCATCAAAGTGGAGAGGTTTCGGCACTATATTTGAAAACAGGGCTGTTCCCAAGCGCATTTGTGGCACGTTTCGTTGGACAGCCCCACCCAGTAGAAGCCTGACAGGAGGAGCTTCCGCGAAACCAAATGGGCCGCCACATTGGCCCAGGTATATCTTCCAGCCCCAGTGGCCGGGTCAAGCCGTGTGGAAGCACCGCGGTCAAGGACAAACTCTGGCGATTCAATCTTACTTTTTGTGTTGCTGGAATTGCTGCATTTTGGGACCGCCATTTCGGTGGCCAAGACATATCATAAATATTTGATTGATTATGTCAGGTCATGCTTCAATTATCAGATTATTGCCGGATGCTTAGTTCTCAGCCGGCAAGAGGGGCCAGATGGGCCAGAGGTCCTTGGAACCGACCTGGATCGCCGTTCCTTTGGGGAGGGGGCGGGGTACAGATTGCATGGTCACCCTGCGGATAGGGACCCCTTGCGACCCACCAGACTGGCGCGGGAAGCAAGGTGTCTGGAAACCGGACATGATTAGAGCTCAATAATGCACTGGTTCACTTGATAAGGATTCCATCCGCGGAGCCGCTTTTTTGGACTTGCTTTTCGTTCGCAGCTGCGGCTGCACAATATAAGTCATGCGCATTGAGCTGGTTCTGCATTTGCCTTAAGCGGAAGGCTCTCAAATGCGATTGCGATAGGCGGGGGCCTGCCCACACCACCACGGGGGGCCACCCACCACTTGCAGCCTTTGAATGCTCTAATGCGGCTTTGATTGACTTTACAGCCAGATCCATGCAAGTGATGGTCAGAACGCGTTTCTCATGGAACTATGCAAGTCAGAGAGTTGGATTGATTGACTGCTTTTGGTCTTGCATGGGGATTCTGGTTGTTTCCTCAATGTGGAGTTGTGGATGTCACATGGGTGTGGCTCAAAATTCAAGACTTAGGGAACTTAGGGTTACGCATATTTTAGTCTTGTTGCCATTGGCCAAGGTGCAACTGTGGTAGATGTTTTTGAGCCACAGCCACATCTCCGCCCATCTCTGTTTCACCAGAACCGATGCAGCGAAGAGAGGAACAGCTTGCCGCCCCCCCCCACGTTTGAATGTTGCCTTTGTCGTCCTCTACACCATCGGCCTCCGAAACATGCGATAAAACGCCAGGAATTTCAGATCTTCAGATGTCCCCCCCCCCCATGGGCAGCGTGCGAAAGAAGATCCCCACCCCCTTCTGGAGTGGGGGGACCCCCACCTCCCCCTTGAGGGATGAAAGACACGCAAGAAGCTCAAGGGGGCGGCACTTTCACGGACAAAAACCCTCATAGCCGGTCGGTGGCCCTGCATAACCCAAGTTGCCTTGGTACAGTGAGGTGGCCTTCTTTTGAGGGAGTTCCGGAAAATTCGGGCTGGAGGTCAGACAAATCATTTGTCCTGCTCTGATTTGGGTGTATGCCGTGCTTATTGTAACAAAATGCCCGGCAAGCCACAAAGAGATGATTTGTTTTTTCCGGATCACCCAGCGGACCACTTTGGTTCCCTTTAGTGCCAGGATTTCGGGCAACTCTGTATTCAACGTCAACAAAAATGCGCATAGAACTGGGTGGCCGCATGATTGCGCCTCGCCAGGAGACCTTTTCGATACTTCAGCGTCGTCGCATGAGCCTTGGCAAGGGCGCGGGTCGGTGGAAACGAGGGGCCTGTTGTATCTGTTTGATTCATTTGAGAAGGACACCAATTCAACCTTGCAGCAAGTTGCAAGGATCTTGCTATTTACACTCCTGCTCTGCACTGTTGGATGTGGTTCATTTGGAGCCAAGCATGTAATTTGAATATGAGTTGTTCAAACCTAACGTAGAAGAGCATCATACTCTCATTGTCCTTCCACCCAAACTGTGGAAGTAACATGTAGGCCATTTGCTATGCACCGCCATGTTTTTCCCAGTGTCTCTGGGGGTTTCTCTTCTGCCGAGCGGCTCAGCCACGCACCTCTGTGTGGGACTCATGCACCCATGGTATCCAGCCTCCCCTTTTTTGGTAGGTGCAAGTTATACAGGACACTCGACTAGGTCCCCCAGTAGCGCTCTTTTACCCTTTTTGGGGGAGGGTTCCCTTCCTAAAATAGACAGAGCTCCCAGCGGGTGGAGGCGACAGAACTTCAGTCCCGCCCAGGAGTGAGCTGCGCGTGGGCGAGCGGCTGCAAGGCAAGGTGCCGCAGAAAGTCGGCGAGTCGGCCTGGCGGACCTTTCCTGTGGCTTTTCGGGCGCATGTGTACCACCAAGAGGTGCTATCTCTCTTGTCCAATGCATTTTTTGACTGAGGAGTCCGATTGATCATGTCTTGATCATGTGACATGGGTCAGTGAAGCTGAACGGGCAGAGGCGTGCGAGTCAAGTCATCTTGATGGAAAGCCTGGAATCCCCGATGCCTTCCTCGTAGCTTCGCGGCGTGTTTCCCCAAAAGCTGAACCTCCCCCTTGGGAGTGAGCCGCAATGCGCGGCGCGAGGTGTGGTGTCCCATGTCACCAACACGCTGGTCCTGGTGGATGTTGGCCTCGAAAAGGCCAGGTGGGCGAAGTTTGCTACGTGACAGTGGCGGGTCTCCTCTTGAAATGGGGAACCCCCTATTAATCAACCAGACCCGGGGTTTATGAATCCGCGGCAAGCAGCTCACTATTTGACTGGCAGCCTTGTTCCTAGTTGCATGTTGAGCAGTCTGCTCGTGCCTGAGATTGCTGCACATGCAAAGCGCAGACGGTCCGAGCGAAGCATGTCGCCTGCAACCTTCCAGGCCAAAGGGCCTGGTGAAGCCGTTGAGCTGCCTTTGGCGTTTGTGCCCAGCGCATCTGAGAGACCCAGCCTCGGCAGGAGGGCTTGGTGCCTCTGTCCAAGATGGCCGCCGGGCTCGGCATAGAGCAGGCGCGGCAGAAGGCGACATCTCGTGCCGCCCCTTTTCGCCAACTTTTCTAGGCCCCCCAGTAGTGCCCTTTCTCACCCCTTTTTTGTCCCCTACTAAAACAGACAGAAAAAAGTTGGTACCCTTATTCTAACCTCTCTACTGGAAAACCCAGCTTTTTTGGAAGGGTTCCGACTCCTTGAAAGTCAACCAGGATATAACCCACAAGACCTGTAGCAAAGAAACGCAGCCAGGTCTTTTGCTGCACCCCAGAACCCATGCATGTGCGGTCAACCAACCAACAAAAAGGGATGCCCTTTTTTTGTTTCCACTGGAAATCCACTGGGCATCTGAGGAAACACTTGCAGAGTTTTGCCAAAAATGACTCGCCGAAGTGATCCGACGCACAGAGCAATGGCTACTTTGCCCAGACTCAAGCCCATTGACTGTCAGGGTTTTTGCAGCTTGTGATAGCGAATAGTTCTGCAATGTTCACTCTCCTCGTATTTTTGGGTGACCCTTTGTTTTTGCGTGTTTGCTCTATTCTTTCGGGTGTTTTCAAGCGACAAAAACATGCCCCAGCCCGCGCTGAGCCCGGGCTTAGCCGCGGGTAGGTGGCGGTGGGTGACGAGGTGAAGGTCTGGGTGAGCCAGTTGACGGCCACGGAGGACCTGCGTCGGGGGCAGGTGGTGCTGGCCATGGACGAGGCCGATGGCCGCGGGGGGATACAGGGGGCAAAAATGGCTGGGGAATCCGGCATGCGCGCGCTTTCGTTCATTTCTGGAGCTAACTAGCTGGTTACTTTTTTTCTCCTAGTGATTATCTGGTTTCGGCTTCTTGTTTATTGAGCCATCAGCTGGCTGTTGTTCCTCTTTTGCGGTAAATGATTGTTTTGTCAGCTCGTTTTTTCATTTCTCAGTGTCTTTGTACCTTCTCCAGCTCATGCATTCCCACTGCGCATTTTCGCTTGAGACCACGCTGCAACCCTGGGATGTGTGATTTCTACAGCAGAGAGAAGTGGCAAAAGCTAGCCACGGCCCTGCCTTTCGTGAACCACGAAAGCGCAAGCAGATATTTAAAGACAGCCGGAATTCTGTTTGTTCGAGTTTGCCACTAGTGAGGCGTGCGGGTCAAGCTTTTTGCTTGGCCAAGCTGGAGGTGTCTTACACCTCGCAAAAGCAAGCGCTCGAATCTTGACATGGCCCTTTCGAAACCATCCAACAGATTTCTTTCCAAACGGACGAGGCTGCACTTCGGCGTTGAGAGTCTAGCTGCCAGGTGTGTATCTCTTCTTTTTTTTTGGGGGGGGGGGGGGGAACACCTACATACATACATGAAGATATATATATATATACAAATATATTTATTTACATATATACATATACATCTGTATATACATATATCATCTATATATACATCTGTATATACATATATCTATATATATATATATATATTATTTAAAGCTGGACGGATTGACATGGGTAGGGGCGTCCAAGCGGCGCGGTTGGAAAGCCCAGAGGCCCGGATCTTCGGGCCCGGGAGCTTCGAGGAGGCGGACCTGGAGGCGGGCCGAGTTGGCCGAGGGCCGAGTCGGTTGGAGTCGGTTGGAGTCGGTTGGAATGGGGGGGGGGGGGGGTGTGGGGGGTGGGATCCGTATTGTTTGGTGGGGGGTGGGGGGTGTTGTTTCGTGGGGGGTGGGGGGTGGGGGGTGGGGGGATTATTCCTTTCAAGAGGGCCCCAGCCCCCGGTTTTTTTGTTTGACCATGCGAAATTGTACAAAATGGGTGGGAGGCTGACTGTGGGTGATTCAGGGTTGATTCCTCAGATGGGACTGGTCCATTTGGAAAGACCTCTCTTAGCACGGAAATCCGGGTCTACTCGAAGTGGGTTCGAACCTTTTCTGTGGACCCGCTTGACATGCGGCCAAGATGCTACATGTATTTGAAGGTGCTGTTGTTCAGTGCTGTGTCGTTGTCTTCAGCTGGTTCCTGAAGCTGGCCAACTGCGGACTGGGTGCGCCAGCGCGCTGTCTTTCAGGCTTGACTCGTGTAGCTTGTCAGCGGCAGTCATCAGCTCCGGGCTTTCGAATCGCGGGGCATCCCCGTCCAGATCACTACTGTCCCAGTGGTTCAGTGGCTTCTCCTATCTTCTGCCCTTCTTGCGGCTTTTGTTTCAGTTGGTTCCAAAAAGATGCTGGAGCAGGACCAACCCAGAAGCTTCAGGCTTTGATGGTGAAACAAGAGTCTTTCCACACAGCCCACGCCACACATGACGTTGTCCTCTCTTCTCCTTCTTCTCCTCTCCTCTCCACTGCTTTGCCTCTCATCCCCTCCTCTTCTCTCCCCTCCTCTTCTCACCTTCCTCTCATCAGCTCTCCTTTCTTCCCTGTTCCTCGCCCTATATTTTTCTTTTCTGATTAAATGCCAGCTTGGTGCGGGAGAAGCAAACGAAAGCACAGAAGCAGGCAACAAGTTGGACGACCAGGGTCCCTTTTCCCCTCTCATTTGGGTTATTGGACAACCCCAGAAGGGGTCACTCGATTTCCCTTAAAACGTAAATCAATCTACTGGCAGTTTTTTATTGAAACGATCGCCACTGTGGAGCTTCCAAAAGGGGGAATGGCTTGGAAACCCTAGTTGTCCAAAAGTCCACCAAACGATGTATATATATATGTATATGTGTTGTTTTCTTTGAAAAGCATATGAAGCAAGAAAGAAAGACAGACACATGAACACACCTTGGGTCGTTTGTTTTCTTAAGGGGACCCCCCCCCCAAAAAAAAAAAAGTGGTCCTTGGAGTTTCCCTTTTAACACCAACCCCCCCCCCCCCCCCCCCAAATTGTGATGTTCCTCTCCGAGTTTCCCTCCTAACACCAACCAAGAAGACACCCATTCGGTCCGTTTCGAGGACTTCCGGAACGTGAGCAGCGAGGAGTGGCTGGTGGGCACGGTGGTGGCGAAGCCGAGCTTCGGGCTGCTGGTGGCGCTGCCCTCCCCAAGAGCGATGGAGCGGCACTGCACGGGGCTGGTCTACAAGAGCCAGGCTCGCTGCTTCCGCGCGTTTTGGGCTGCGTGTTTGGCTTTTGGGGGGGCCCCGGGTTTGGGGACCCGAACCGCCCCTCCCCCCCGCCCGAGGTTGCAACACACACACACACATAAATATGTATATATATATATATATATACATGTACAATATATATATATATATACATGTACAATATATACACATAAATATAGAACAAAAAGAAGATTCAATATGCCGTTTCAGGCAAACATTTGTTCTTTCCGTTGCGTTATTGTGAGTAGTCAGGGCACGGAAGTTGTTGCCAACCAACCAAGTTGTTATGCTGATCGTGTCCTTGGGCCGACTGCAAAAAAGCTTTCTGAAGCAATACTACGATTTCCAGAGGGCACGGCACACATGTTTGTGTGTGTATAAGGAATTTCAGATGGTTGTTTTGCACGCTTGAGCGATGCCTGCAATTTGAAAGTAGTGGCCCACCACCCGTAATTTGTTCAAGCCACCAATGCCCCCCCGCGCGTGCCATCAAAGCAATTGCGAACAAAATGATGCTCCAGCTGCGCGCGTGCAGTGGATCCTCAATCACCAGACTCCTGTGAAATTGGCCGGAAAAGTTTGCATGGCTTCGTCGAGAAGGCAGATAGCTCGTGGGCCTGTTGCAAATGCCACGTTCCAACATGACCAGTGAGTCATCCAGCAAAATGACTTGGGTGTACAGCTGGATGCTGCGACTGCGCGGGCGCATGCTGAGCAGCTGCATGGCTTTGTGTCTTCCACCGGGAATCGCAAAGCTCACTTCAAGAGTTCCTTGGGGAAGACGATTTTAGTGGTAAATGAAAAAAACGACTTTGTTTGGCCAATCCACTCAGGAAGTGAGAAAGTGAGAAAGTCTGTTTCGCAACATTTAGATGCGAAAGCCAGTGGGGAGAGGGACATGATTTATTCTTGAACATGTGCACTACGCTGCACGAGAGGAAGCATGCGGAAGGTTTTGCGGAAGGGTGTTCTTGGCTTTGTGAACAGCTCTTGCGGGCAATAATCGCGGAAGCAAAGCTTGTGAAGCATGTGCCGCGGAAGGACGCGGAAGCAACACTTAACTGAAAACGAGCAGCCCTGTTGGCCCGCGACACGGATGCGGAAGGGTCCAGGCCACAGAAACTTGAATAATGCCCAATCAAGTTCAGGGGGAGTAAAGACAAACGCTCACTTGGGCAATGTTAGACATGTTTAGCGGCTACGCAAGATGAACGCCGGGAAGGGCGACCTCGGTTTTTGTCTCCGCGTTCTTTCCGTTTCCTTCGCCAGACGGCAGGTGCTGGGCAATCAAGCGGTGGGTGACCAGGCAGGGACCCGCGACTTTTCGCTTTGACCTTTTTGAGGATTTCTTGTGAAACTATTTCGGATGCGGTATGCAACCAGAATCAACAGAACACGACATGGGATCCTTCCGGCAGAAATGTTCAAGAGGAGCCGGCTCATAAGTGTTGGGCGCCATGCGTGGAGCTTGCCTTTCTGCCACTTTCAGGCAGCTGGTTGGTTGACCTCCTGCATAGCTTGTGCAGGTTGCCGGCGTGTTCTGTGCACCTCGCATCGATGCCGCTCAGTTTCAGGCAAAGAGAAACAGGGCTCCTTAAAGATCTCCATTTGCAACCATTTGAAACGTGTTGCACCAAAATACAGAAATGGAAACCACCATTTCCAAGTTGCAATGTTCAGGTGTTTCTATTGTAATACAATCCCTGAGACACACGGCGGTGCCAGGTCCGTGTGCGTGTGCTCAACGTGAACGTGGAGAAGAAGAAGCTGGCGCTGTCCATGAAGGCGCATCTAAGCTGGGGTCCAGGAGGCTCGTGAGATTTGTTGAGGTTGTTGAACCCGCAAGGAAAACACGAAACAAGCAAGCAAACAAGCAAGCAAACAAACGAAATAAGCGAAAACAAGCAAGCAAACAAACAAACAAATGAAAACAAACAAACAAACAATCAAACAAACAATCAAACAAGCAAGAACACAAGGTTCGGTGGGAGGCCCACGGGTGCATTTTGCACATGTTTTGTACGCGGCAGACGCCAGGCAGGACTCTTTTACCACCTGCCCCTACACATTGCCCACACGTATGCTTTGCGGTTTTGTTTAGACTTGCTTGTTCGACGTTCCTGATTTGATTGGGGTGGACAGGATTCCGACCGCGGCTACAGTACCTCTTGCCCGGACGTATGCTTTCCTTTGCCAGCTTCCGGGGGGGGGGAAACCGGCGAAAAGGTAGCTTTCGCGCTTCCTGGCGAAGGGGCCAGCTTTCTGTCCGTCCTTTCACAAGCTTTGCACTGCAAGCGCATGGTGTATGTGTGTGTGTGTGACAGTGGTAGCATGAGGGTGGGTGGGCGGGCGGGTAGCATGTGTTTGTTGTTTGTTTTTTGGTTTGTTTGTTTGTTTGTTTGCTTGCTTGCTTGTTTGTCTGCTTGTCTGCTTGCTTCTGTATTTGTTTGTTTGTGCGTGTGTGTGGGTGCCAGCGTGTTTGTGTGTGTGTGTGTGTGTGTGTTTGTGGTTGTGTGTGTGTGTCTCCACCTGCGTAATTATGGTTCTATATTAATGTATGTAATACTCTATGCACATATACGCTCGCGTGTTTGCGAGTCTGTCTGTCAGCGGAGTGCACGCTTTTGTTTCTGTGACTGTGCCTGTGTCTTTTTCTGGGTGCTTGCATGTCTGTGTGCCTTTGTGTTTGTCTGTATGTCTTTGTTGTGTGTTGGGTGTCGCATTTGTTTGGCTGCCTATTTTTGTTGTTATTTGTTCTTGCCTGGTTGTATGTGTGCGCTTGTGCATGAAAGAGCTGTTGCTCTTTGTCTGATGTGCATGCTGTTTGTGTGTGCTTGTGTGTGTGTGTGTGCGCGTGGGTGTTGTGTTCGTGCATCTGCCTGTCTTTGTGCTTGCATCTCTGTGTGTGTGTGTGTGTCTGTCTGTCTGTCTGTCTGTCTGTCTGTCTGTCTGTCTGTCTGTCTGTCTGTCTGTCTGTCTGTCTGTCTGTCTGTCTGTCTGTCTGTCTGTCTGTCTGTCTGTCTGTCTGTCTGTCTGTCTGTCTGTGTGTGTGTGTGTGTGTGTGTGTTTGTTTGTGTTTGTGTTTGTGTTTGTGTTTGTGTTCGGGTTTGTGTGTGTTTGATACGTTTAAACATGCACCATGGGGTGGATCAAAAGCCTGCTCCATGGGCCGAAAGGATGGCAAATGCCTATGCCAATTGAAAGCCCGGGTCAGAGTTGTGAGATGACGCTTTGCCTTGCAATCTGAGATTTTGCTTATTTGTTGCAGCCAGACACCCGAATCAAGGGCCATTGCCTCCAACAAAAGCCACACCAATCAGTACGATCTGCACAGGCTGGCTCCCCACGCAGTGTTGCCGCGCGCCTGGCCCCATTCCGGACCGGGACTGTTGGGTGTGCCTCCAACTGGGCCTTTCCAAAAGTGCGTCCAAAATGAAACGATTGTGACCTTCAAGGGTTAAGGGTGTGATCCCCCCTTCTATATATGTGCAGTCAATCCTCTACACGTGTTTACGCTTCTTTTTGTTCGTCAGAACAGGCTTGTGCTTTGTCATGCATCCCAAAAGGCAAGCGTGGAACTGCACGCTGTGACTCTTGAAGCCACATGCTTGTTTTCCCACAAGGGCCTGCGAACGTCTCCGTGGGTAGCTTCTGGCACGGAATTGGCGAGCCAAAAATGTAAACACCGGCATGGTCTCACATAGTCTGTCCACGATTTAGCCTCAAACAGTCTCTGTCCCCCCCTTTCCCAGATAAAGAGGCCGACGTTGGCCCCAAACCCTGGCTATTTTGGTTCCACGTCCCCTTTAACGGCAACTCGCCGTCTGGCGCCTTGCGGCCTCTGGGGGGCTGGTCGCCAGGAGCTTGTCGGAGCCTCTCATGGGCCGGGTGCTGCGACTCTGCCGGCTGGGGGTGTTGGTGGCGGTGCCGCACCCTGAAACCGGCACCACGGTGGGTTTGCTGCCCAAGGCCGGGCGGCCGGGGTTGGAGTTCATGGGCGCGCCTCTGTTTTTTGTTTTTTTCCCGAAAGCATGGCGAAGGGTTCTTCCGCTGGGTTCACTTGAGTTGTTCTCATGAGAGTCATTACAAGGTGTCATTGCAAGGAATCAGCATCATGAAAGTCATTGCAAGGAGTCATTTCCGCTGGGTTCACTTGAGTTGTTCTCATGAGAGTCATTACAAGGTGTCATTGCAAGGAATCAGCATCATGAAAGTCATTGCAAGGAGTCATTGCAAGGAGTCATGGCAAGGATTGCAACTCGCACTTGACTCCTTGTACTTGCAACTTGCACTTGACTCCATGCACTTGCAACTTGCACTTGACTCCATGCACTTGCAACTTGCACTTGACTTGCACTTGGCTCCTTGCACTTGGCTCCTTGCACTTGGCTCCTTGCACTTGCAACTTGCACTTAACTCCGTGCACTTGCGACTTGCACTTGACTCCATGCACTTGGCTCCTTGCAACTTGCAATGACTCCTTGCAATGCAATGACTCCTTGCAATGACTCCTTGAAACAAGCAAGGAGTCAAGTGCAAGTTGCAAGTGCAAGGAGTCAAGTGCAATTGACTTGCGAGGAGTTAAAATCTCTTCTTAGGGCGGCGGGGTAGTGCCGACGACACTACACGAAAATCGACCCTCTGCGGGGATCGGCGTGGTCGAGGTGCAAAAACCCATGGTTTTTTGCGATGTTTAACCTGCTCGCGCGACCCTCTGCGGGGATCGGCGTGGTCGAGGTGCAAAAACCGATGGTTTTTTGCGATTTTTAACTGCTCGCGCGACCCTCTGCGGGGATCGGCGTGGTCGAGGTGCAAAAACCCATGGTTTTTTGCGATTTCTGCGGTGCTCGCGCGACCCTCTGCGGGGATCGGCGTGGTCGAGGTGCAAAAACTCGAGGTTTTTTTGCGATTTCTGCGGTGCTCGCGCGACCCTCTGCGGGGATCGGCGTGGTCGAGGTGCAAAAACCCAGGTTTTTTGCGATTTCTGCGGTGCTCGCGCAACCCTCTGCGGGGATCGGCGTGGTCGAGGTGCAAAAACTCGAGGTTTTTTGCGATTTCTGCGGTGCTCGCGCAACCCTCTGCGGGGATCGGCGTGGTCGAGGTGCAAAAACTCGAGGTTTTTTGCGATTTTTGTTGTTCGAACTGGTCCTCGGGAGTTGTCTCGTGGTTCGCGCGCCTGCTCCCGGAACCTGCGGGTCGCGTTTTCGATTCCTCCCTGGTCCGCGGGCGGGCGTCGCAAGATGCAACTTGCATTTTAAAGCAACTTGCGCAGAGCAAGTTGCACAGAGCAACTTGCGCAGACCAACTTGCACCGACCAGTTTGCGCAGAGCATCTTGCCTAGAGCAACTTGCGCAGAGCAACTTGCGCAGAGCAACTTGCGCAGAGCAACTTGCACAGAGCAACTTGCACAGAGCACCTTGCCTGGCGCTGTCTCGCCCTTGCTTCACGAATGCTTCGTGTAGGGAAAAAGAACGCATCCTGCAGCGTTGGGCCGACCTCGCTTGCGATGTTCTGCCGTGGTCTAGTTGTGGTAGTGTGTTGTTTTTTTGGGGGGGTTTAAAGGAGGCCTCAAGGGAATCACCATATTAGGGGGTTCCCCGATTTTCGAGACACACCCGGATCTCCTTATCCCCCGAGTGGTGGTTTGGTTTGCAGGCTCAGAGCATTCACCGAGCCAATGCCCAAACCACCAATATCCAAACCACCAAAGCTTGCTGGTGCTCAGCAGGAAGTTAGGGAATGAACCCTGCAAACCATCTATTCTGGTTTCTTTTCAGGGGATCCCCAGGTTCATTCCCTCATTTCCTGCTGAGCTGCAGCAAGTCAGGGTAAGGAGGGATAAGACGTTGAGTTTTGATTAGGGGCTGCAACCCGCGAGGATGCTCATCCCTGGAAATGCACATGAATCCGTCATATGTTGCAAGGAAACCAAGCGATGGCGGTGTGCAGTGGCTGGGGCATCCCGACTCCCTTGCTGCTCCAACTCAGGACAAATCTTTGCCTTTCTTGCCAGATTAGGGATTCTTCTTTCGCAAAATGCTTGCCTGTTCCCCTTTGTCCGTTTTGGTTAGGGGATTAGCGTTTGTAGGTGAAAGCCCTCATGTCAAGTCCTCTGATCAAGCTTGATGACATGTCAGGGGTGGCCCAGGCAAGTGGTGCCCAGCCTCTTTCGCCAAGCATTGGCACAAGAATGCCGAGTTTTTCCGCACTTTCATCCCAAGATTCATGGGGTTCCTCACTTCCTGAACTTGTCTTATACTCTTTTTAAAGACCCTTTTGGCACTTAAACCAAACAAATCGGCAGCTTGTTGTGGCCAATCCACCTGGTGCGAAGTGGATTTTGTCCATGAGACCGGGCCCCGCGGGAATCCCCGCGTGCCAATTCGAAGGCCACGCGGCGGCCGCGCTCGGTGGAGGAGCTGACGCTTGGGGAGGAGCTGGAAGGCCCGGAATCGCGGAAGGGCATACCGTGGATGGTTGCGAAATTCTGCACCACTTTGAAACCAGGGGGAATCATCATTCCAGGAATCACCTACGCAACCCTGGAATGATTCGAGTCCCCTGCAAACACCAAGAAGCAGAGGCTTTAATCCAAGAAGCAGAGGCTTTAATCATGGTTTCTTAGGTTGTGCAAGATGGATTTTGTCCACCCACAGTATTGCAATGGGGCCGTTCCGGTTCCCTCTTTTGGAGCTTCGCTCTAATGTTTCACGAAATCTTGGGGAACGCCTGTCGCTAGTCCTTTCCAGAATGCGATCCGAGATGTTGTTGGTCACGGCATGCCCAGATTTCCTTGAGTGGCTCCGCAGAAAGGAGCCTAGAAGTGCCCAGGAGTGCCTTGCTGACCAAAGCAGGAGCGGCTTAGGGCCCAGGGTGCATCAAAGCCCTTGGAAATGGAGTACTCCGTTGCCAGGCATAGTGGTGCGAACCACCCAGAACATGACACTCGTGGATGTGGGTGTGAAGCAGAGGGGCTTGCTGCCCCCGTCCAAAGCTGCTGAGGGTCATGCTGCTTGGCGGTTTGCTGGCAACACACCCTGTACCCTCACTGGCCCCTTGCGCATGGCTATCAGGCCAAAAGCCGTGCAGTCCTGACTGTTTTTGCATTGGAGCCCCTCCACGGCTGCAGTGGGGTGCTGCAACAAACGACGACTTTTGCAAGCCCATGCAAAGGCTTGCCCCCCCCGCCCCCCCCAACCCCCCCCTCACCCCCCCTCACCCCCCCCTAAAAAATAGTAAAAGGAGAATTCAAAGAATTATTCTTTCTACTATTTTTTCTCCAACAGCAACACAACAAACAGAAAACAAAATCCAGAACAACAAGCAAACAAAATAAATAATCACAACCAACAACAAAAATATTTAATCACAGCATACAACATTAAATAATTCAAACAAGCATACCAACAAAACAGCAACACTCTAAATCATCAAAGAACCCAAACTCAAAAACACACATCAACAAAAACAAAGCAACATACCAACAAAAAATATCATAAGAGTATCAAACAAAACAAAAACAAACAGCCAAAGCACGAAAAAATTGAAGAAGCATGCCAAGTCTAAACAACGCACTTTGAAAGAGATAAGCAAATTATAATAATTCAATCTTTACAAACGATAAATATATTACAATTATAACATATAATATTTTACATGTGATAATCATAGTATGAGTTCAACTTTATTCTAATTAATTTTAAAATTCTCTTTCAATTCGTTTCACTATTTTATCAGCTGTTTTTCGATTATAAATATTATTTCCTATTTCTTTTACAAATGCCTTCATTACACTAATTGCAAGTCTTGCCGTATATCTAAGTTCAAGAGATTTATACTTATAATCTATAAACTCATTTAAAAAATCATAGCCATTTTCATTCAATGCTTCGTATTTTAAAAGTTTAATGCTAAAAGACATATTGTATAATCTTTTTACCATTCTATAATACTTATAAATAAAACCATCCACATATCCATTATCCAATACATTATCATATTCTTTTTCAGTATAGAACCTATTCATTTCAATAAAAACAAATTTCTAAATCATCATCATCAGCATTTCTAGTATCAAAATCTGCGTTATTCATATAATCAATTTTGTTTATAATTCTATTGCAATTATTGCATATCATATATTGACAAATATTATTACTAACACTATCTATAAAACCTTGTTGAATTGTTAACTTTAACATCTCACAGTCTTTACATTTGTAATTCTTAAACTTTTGTTTCATTATATTTTTAACATCAATATCTTCATGGAAAGTATCATTAAAATCACTATACACACTTTCTATATCACTATATTCACTATATTCACTTTCTGTATCACTTATTTCTATCTTAATATATTAAGTCAATATTTCTTTAAGTCGTTTTCAAAGAACTTATTTTATAATGGCCATAAGCAAGTGAGTTTATACTATCTATCCAATATTTTTTGTTTTCATAACTACTAAGAGCATTTTTTTTAGTTGTTATACTAAAAATTCTGTGGTTTTTACTTCTAATACTATTAAATGACTTATGTATAACCTTATTAGTTTTTAAAACCGTCTCAAACTCTTCATATTTCATTTGACGTCTTACTGTGCCTTTTGCTATGCCCTTACATTTCTTATATTTCTTTTCATCACCATAAACTGAGTAAGCGTAGCATTTAGGACGAAGGGCTATAAACCCTGTTATTATTTTACTTTTTAATTCATCCTTAAATTTACCTAATACTTTCTTGTTATTATCATCATAACATTTATGTTCCTTAGGATAATCTGAAAAATCTAATTCTTTTTTAATTGTATTTAGGTCTTCATAAATGTCATTGGTTTTAGTATGAAATACAAAACTATCAGTATCAGTATATACCATTTTAATATTATCTCCATATTTAGGCTTCATAACGTCATAATAAAATTTATACATGTGTTGCTTACTCAAATCTAAAATACTCATCCCAATAAATATAGGTTTGTCTAGTTTCAACTTTGTTTTTGCTTTTCAACTCCAACCAAATTTTCATTAATGATATGACTATGTTTGAAGTTAGGATTACTTACACACTTCATATATCTAGTTTCATCACTCACAACTTCAAAGTCTAAATGTTTTCGCTTATCCTCCATTGTTTTTCCAAATATGGCATTGTTCATCAATTTATAAACATCTTTCTCAAAATCATTTCTAGCATTCTTCCTCTTCTCTGTGTTAAACTCAATGTAAGGTTTTAAAACTTCTTTTTGTTCAAATTTAATTGCTCTATGAATTTTCTTAAGTTTTAACCCTTTGCTTCAAATAAAATTGTAAGGTTCTTATATGGATTACATATTTTTCTTTATCATTTAAATTCAATACTAATTTATTTGTTTTCTCATCCGTAGGTTTTTTATGATTTAAAAATTCATAAATTTCAATTTGTTTATCTGACAGCATGTTGGCTTTAACATTCATAACCTCAGGTGCCATTGGATAGTCATTGTGTAAATCGTGTAATTCTTTAGGATATTCTAAATCCACTTCTAGAATATATCCAATATTATTATTCTTGTAATTAATAATGTCTTCTTCTTTTAATGTATCATCCCATTTTAGATTTTTATATGGCAGTTTTTGTATCATGCTTAACCCGTACAAATTATTAGCATCAAAATAGTTAATATAACTACTTTCTTTATTTTTATCATATTCTTCTCCCATGTATTTATTATTTGCTTCAACTTTTTTAGTAGAAACCATACACATCCCTCCTCTAAGTCCCGCTTCTATCATTTCATACATTTCTCGGTCATATATTAAATCAATCTCTACACCAGTCATTTTAAGCATAGCATCAAAAGCAAAGTTAGGCAATGTATAATTCCAAGCAGGGTCCAATCCATAATATTTCATACACACATCTCTAAAATTCTCGAAAATATCAGTCAATAATAATACATCAGTTTTCAAATATAAATCATGGTATTCACCCATATTCTTAATGTCAAAATGCTTCCATATAGTTTTTGCTCTTTCATAGTCGTTAACACTTATACCTTCTTCACTCAACTGACTATAAAAATCATCCTTACTTGGTAATTGCTCATCATCAAATTTATCAAATGAATTCATGTAGTCATAAGGATAAACACCTTTATCAGTCAACAAATCTAGACATATCTCACTCTTAATCAAATCATTTTTACTACTTTCCAGTTTTCACGCAATAACCATTTACTTTTATCTTCTTCATCTGTATTATCATACTTACTCATTGAAACTAATTTATCTAATGAAGCAGTTAAAAACCCAAAAGTGTCTTTAACACTCAAACTTTCAAAACTGATATTAATATTTTTCACTGTTCTGAGCGATGACACCTATTTTATTGTTGTTACTTAATTTATCCGCATTTTGAATAATTAAATGACCGTCATAATTTTTCATGTCATGAAAGAATACTAGAATTTTAAAATATCTATTACAAAAATTAAGATTGCAAACATTATGAGCACAACCTCTATACTTACCTGTCAAATGACAATGGTCTCTAACTTTTCTATATTTCTCTGCTTCCTTGGCATTCTTATAGTTCATTCTAAACTTATCTCCACAAATAAAGCAGTTTTTAGCATTTTTAAAATCTTCTTTGTCTTCATCAGTCATGTCTATTTTTTCGTTTTCTCCCATCTTCTCCTTTACTTCTGCCCTAATCTCATTAAGTTTTTGACAAAACACATCAACAGCATCTTTACCACGATACATAAATTCATAATTTGTATTATCAACAGCATTAACCATATTAAGCATAAAACCACATGGCTTATGCTCTTGATAAGAAAAAGTGTTTTTATCTTCATCTTCATCAGGTTTTTTCAGTTCCTCTGTCAAACATTCAAAATCAGCATATACAACAAAAGGACATCTTAACTTTTTGAAGTGATGCTTAAAACTAACTTTCTCATAAGGCTTAGGCATTACTATCTGTTGTCCTTCAACTTCCATGCATCCACTATCATAATGTTTATTTAATAATTCTTCATTTCTAAATCCATGATTACAATATTTACAAAAATAGGACTTACCATTATGATTACTTTTTTGATTATTAATAAGTCTGCTCAAACTTTTTATATACACATAATGACTGCAATCCTCATCATCAACTCTTAACAAATCAAAATGAAAAGAAGCATCAGTATTTTTCAATTTTCTACTAATAACAATTTGTTCATTATCATCAATTTCATAAACATTAATGGATATTGATTTATTATTTTCTTCAAATATATCTATATCATTATTATTAGCAGGAAAACTCACACCATCAAAAATCAAATCACTTTCTATCTTCTTGTAATGAAACATCTTTTCAGGGTGTGCTTTATCACAAATTTTACAATATCCACACTCAATAGAATATTTAAAACACTTGTCATCTTGATTTTTAATATTGATACATGCCTTTTTCTTTTTAATCCATTCTGGAAGTTCGATATATTTACCAGCTCTAGTCGGATTATATTTATTATACATGATATGAATATTATTAATATTGCTAATTATTAATCCTGACTGATACAAAGCCATATCTAAAATTCTTGTTTCAACATCAGGTCTCATTCTTTTCAAAGCATTCCTTAAATCCTCTTCATTTACAATAGTGTACGACCTTGTCCTAACTGTTACGTTTCTCTCCTCATCAAATAAGTTCATAACTTTCATATTTATTGTAGCATTAAGTTTCATTCCTCTATTCTCTTTCAAGTATTCATTAAGTTTGTCAAATTGATAATTAAAATAAGTCAATCCGTTCAACTCTTTTAAATGAATGTTTGAAATTGTGTAGGCGTTGGCATATGCTCTAAAGGCGCTTCTTTCTTCTGTTATTACTGCTTTTTTCTTAATAGCATGTTTTAAAACCGTTCTTGCTCCTACTCTTTCTCTGATTTGATTTGCTTTGTAGTCATTAGTTTTCTTTACTGCTTCAAGTCTCTTACTCAATCTATTGCTTATTGGTTTTTCTG